CTCACAGGGGGGGGGGTGATGCCCCCATGTCCCTTATCACCCTTAGAAGTAAAAATAAATGATTTAGTACTACGATAACTTATAATTAATCTTCAGTTGTTTATTATTGTAAGTTAGCTGTAAGTTATCCATAAATAAATAAATTAAAAAACATAGAACATCGATATTGACCAAGTTTTATTTTCCAGATTTCATGGAGTATTGTGACAATAAGTTCGAGTGTAGAATTAATATTGGCAGCCATGTTTCTGTCAGGTATCGGTGGATGTGCGTTACTGATAGTCCCCGTGTACGTCAGTGAGATCTGTCAGGAGTCTATTCGGGGAATGATGACGTCAGGAGCGATGATATTCTATGGCCTAGGTTTACTTCTGTCGTATTTGTTAGGAGGCTGCCTGGATTATAATACGATGAATTATGTATGTCTTTTATTGGCTGTTGTCGGAGTCTTAGCACTCTGGCCGCTTTGGGAGACTCCGATACATCTCATGAAGAAGGGAATGGAAGAGGTAAAGATTTTTTTTCATATGATACATTAAGGGCGTCGCCAGACAATGATCTAAGCCACTTCTAGGAGACGAAGGGTTTTTTTATGAACTTTCCAATGGAAAAAACTATCAAGTAGTCTTTGAGGACGGTAGGGGGTAGTTTCCACATCCAACTTTCCCTTGGCGACGCCCAATACATAAATGTACACTTCTCCATTCGAAAAAAATTGAAAATGACGGCTACGGTGACGTCATATGTCGTAAACGTGTAAATACCGCATTGTCAGATGGAAGGATATTTGTGAAGTAATTTCATTAATTTATTGGAAAACTATTAACTTATCAAGGACAAATATATTGTATTTTCTAGTAATGTGAATGAACAAATATTTTGCTATATTAGGTTGTGGAATAATAAATCTATTGATTAAGAGTTTTCACAATCGAAACATTTGTTTAAAAACAATGTCATCCGTTATCCAGATAACAATAAATGTACCAGTGTTAAGACTTTTAAAATTTCAGGACGCAGCGAAAGCTGTTGCATTTTATAGAAGAGTGAAGGAAACCTCCAAAGAAGTAACTCAAGAGATAAATAACATGAAAAGGGCTCTCGATCCGGAACTTGATGGTAAGTAAAATATTTATTCATGTCATTGGTCAAACACACTTTCAGACAAAACACCAAGAAACTCGTCCCTAGTTAGAAATGGCTAGTTATCAATTGACATTTTTAATTGAAAAATGAAAATGAAAAAATGGTTTATTTAAATCCAACAATCATGTATACACGGAGTAGTAAAATACAGTTTATGGATACAGTAGATTTTTTTTTATATTGACCAGTACCCTCGCACTAGGCGCAGCCTGTATCGCGAGAGTCCTGCTCTTAAGATTAAACAAACGATCGTTAGACGGCAACAAATATGTTAATAGTTACACTTATATTTACGTGTCATTTGTTTTAAAAATATAGTTTTAAATTTTTATATAGAAGAATAAAATAAATTGATAACTTAAGGGCCTGTTCCACCACTGGCTGATAGAGGCTTAGATAGCTTAAAAATGACGTCACTGTCAGATAAGGGAACAAAATCCGATATTTCCATCAAATATTTTACACGTTGGATTGTTATTAGATAATTTACAATTTGGTGGCACAGGCCCTTAATAAATTAAATTGAAGGTGTTATTTTGTAATTGAAGATAATGTAAAGAGATGGTATAAATATTTCTGTATTAATGAGTTTTAGCGTAAATCGTAGTTTGTCTATGGTTTAGCGTTTTGAAATCAGGTGTAGTCACAATGGAACAGATAATTATTTTTAATAATTACTAAAAAGTAATTAGCCCTTTCTGAGCGTGTCGGTGGCTTAGTGGTTTAAACACTTGACTTGTAATCTACAGGTCTTGGGTTCGAATCCCGCCATGTACCAATGTGATTTTCGATTTATCGAATTTTCATATGTACATAATTTAGCTGACGTTCTTACGGTGAAGGAAAACATCGTGATGCAACCTGCACATATCGGCGAAGAAATTCAAAGTTATGTGTGAAGTCAACCAACCCGCAGTGGGCCAGCGTGGTTGACTATGGCCTAGTCACCCCTTATTAGAGCAGGCTCCTAGCCCCTCGGTGGGTACGTGTAGTGAGCTGGTGATGAATTAGCCCTTTTATAAGTTTTCTTAGACGAGCAAAAAACTATAAAAGGGCTCTTGGGATTGTGTGTTATTTTTAATTAATTAGATAAGAAACGATTTACATAACAAAAAGTAAATATAAAAAAACATAGTTTTGGTTTCACGTGATATAAAGATAAACGTAGTATAATTAGTAAACATTATAAAGATTATTTTTATAATATTTTTCATTAAAATGTAATAAAAATTATCTTTTAAATTACCTTATGTATTTAATTTTTTACGTCACAGTAAATCTTTGTTAAATAAATCCGTTTATTAATAAAATTAAAATCTTGTTTAGAGTGCGTTATAATTTTAGAACACTAGCTTTCACCCGCGACTCCGTCCGCGTGGAATTATAAAAAACAAAAGTAAGTAGCCTATGTGTTCTTCCAGACTCTCCTCTACATCTATGCCAAATATCATCGAGATCTGTTCAGCAGTTTAGGCTACAAACTCTATATAACATTAGTAAAATTAAAATGTAATTTTTTTGCAGATTTGACACCGGAGGAAGAAAAATTAAAACCTGAATTGAAAACAGTTGAAAAAATGTCCAAATGGAGATTTATTAGTGAGTTTTAACATAATATACATAAATTATAATTAATATAATGTAAAATTACACTTTAAAAGACATTATTAAGACTTGAAAAAAGATTTGTAACGTATTTTTTCAGTATAATTCATAATGTGACTAAAAACTATTTAAAACAACCAAGCGACAAAACAATTCAAATATAAAAAAAATAAAAAAAAACATACAGACGAATTGAGTACCTCCTTCTTTTGGGAAGTCGAAACGAATACGGGATAAAGTCAAAGTTCAAATGGCCGCAGGCGATAAAATAAAAAAATCTTTTTATTATCCGGAATTTTTAAAGAACCATTAAAAGAGCCTCAAGCCCACGATTCTCAGAAGTAATTCGACACCTCTATAGTCATCCCCAGAAAGATAAAATCAACTGCCCTTCTAAAAAATAAAAATAATGCATAAAATATATAAAAACTTCTTCAAATAATACCATATCTATACTAATATAAAGAGGAAAGGTTTGTATTTGTGTGCAATGCAATAACTCAAAAACTATTGAGCCGATTTCTAAAATTCTTTCACCATTAAAAAGCTACGTTATAATAATATGGGCTACATTTTTTTTGTGCCGAGAGCAAGAGTTGAAAGATAATCCAATAGACTTAGCTAGGTTTTCCTTACAGAGAAGTCACGTTCATCTCGTCGTGCGTTGCTGGTGTCTTTAACGCTGTACCTCACAGCAGTCTTCCAAGGTCTGGTGGTGGTGCAGGTGTATGCAGAGCCTCTCTTCGCGGAGGCTCTCCCGAACATCTCCCCAACTGTCTCCAGTGTGCTGCTCGCAATTATAGCTGTGCTCGCTGGTTGTGTTGCTGCGTACTTGATTGATGTTGTTGGGAGACGGGTGAGGGTGTTTTTACAGACGAAATTGTTTCAGTAGTTTTTTGATCTCGAAGGTTTATTTTACTTTTTTAAATATATATATTTACTGTCTTTGCTCAAGTTTTTTTGGATTTGATAGTATACGTCATATGACGAAGGTTCACAATTTGAAAAATGTGAAGTCGTCTACAGTTTTTTAGTTTTTTTTTAATACTTTATGATAGCAATCAGAAATTTACATTTATCTTTTTTCCTGCATTTTCTATTGACATGCGATGATTTTTTTCTTTTTTTGTTAAGGCTTATTTTCGATTTTTTGTATCCAGCCAGTGATGATCTACGCGTCTCTCTTAGCGGGAGTATGTTGTTTGGCGCTGGGCAGCCAAATCCAGTTGCAGTGGGGAGCGCACTGGCTTACTGGCGTCTTCATGTACCTCTTCTGCATCACGTTTACCTTCGGCGCTGGGACTGTGCCTTACGTGGTCTCAGCTGAAGTATTTTTACCTGAGGTTAGATAAACGCGAACTGATTTAAAATGAAAAAAAAGTCGAATTTATCACAGCGCAGAAGGTTTTGTGTATTTTTTTGACTAGCAGATTTCGGTGCCATAATCTTTGGGGTTTTCAGAATACACTAAAAAATATCATTAACTATATTGTTTTGACTATTTTAATGGGTTTATGATTGCCCATTGAACAAGTGTTGTATGATATAGGTAACAAACATACAAAAATTATATATAGTTTTTTGTTTTTCAGATAAAGAGTTTAGCATCGATGGCGTGCGCACAAACAGCGTGGGCGTCAAACTTCGTGATACTCTTCATCTTCAATCCTTTAGTACTAGCCATCGGCTTAGGTCCTGTCTTCTACATATTTGCTGCATTCTGCTTTGCTTCTGCTCTCTTCTGCTTCTTCTTTCTACCAGAGACGATGGGTCTACCAGTCGATGCGATACAGACTTTGTTCGCACCGAAGAAAGGACGAAATTCATGCTGACATTTAATAAATAATGAAATAAAATTTGTTTTGTGTTTTCTAAACCTTTTTAAGTATGACACATAATTGCAATATGTCTTCTAATATGTGTGAAATCTATAGTAATAATAAACAATACGTGTAAAAAAACATGCCGTAAATAACTCAGACGTCAATAGGCATGGGCATATTATCTTACTAATATTATAAATGCGAAATTAGATGGATGGATGTTTTTTTAGAGTTTGTAGCCTAAACGGCTAAATAGATCTGGATGAAATTTAGCGTAGATGCAGAGCATAGTCTGGAAGAACACATAGGCTACATATTTTAGGTTTTATTTTAATTCGGAGAGGAAGTCGCAGGTGAAAGCTAATAACAGATATAAAAACTACTTGGAATAAGTCAAAATGAATGGTACACGCCTCTCTAGACCATCGGATAGCGACGTCTTTTCCCGTTGATTTTCACGGTAAAGTCACCGTGCAAATATGTAATGTATCGGCCGATCGCGGAGTAACATACCGTGGAAATCCACATTTAACAGATGTAAATAGACAATAAGCCATAGACAAATCAAGTGATAATTGTTATGCAGAATAAAAACAAAAGCCGCTGAATACATTCTGTCGTAAGAATATTCTTGTCTTTTCATTTTTATTGAAAAACAGCGACAGTAATTGATTTATTATAAGCATAAGTCATTATTCTCACGGACGATTTTATAACGCGTGTTAAATAAGCCTCAAAATTTAATAAATGTATTTTTTACCGACTTCCAAAAAGAAGGAGGTACTCAATTCGTCTGTATGTTTTTTTTATTTTTTTTATGTGTGTTACGGCATAACTCCGCCGCTAGTGGACCGATTTTGATAATTCTTTTTTATCCGAAAGGTAATGCTTGCAGGTGGGTCCCATTTTTTTGTTTGATTTTTGGAGTCAAAGACTACGACGTAGTTAAATAGTTTAGCTCAAAATCGCGCGACGAAATTTCGGGTCTTTTTTGCTTTCTTTGCTTACTTAGCCTAAACTTTAAGACTTACATAAAAATGATGTATCGAAGAATTGTAGCCCATTAAATTTGCTAAATAAAAGTCCGCAATAGCATATATCTATCTATTAAGGTTGTCGCACAATAACCACTTCTTTCATTAAAATATCGCTCGAAATCTACACCCCACTTTCAACGCTATTACTCGTGATCAGTATGAATCCTTATCCAAATAAATGTGTCCATCATCAAGAGAATTTAATGTAGATTATAAATGCCCTTGAAACTATATAATTCCGATTAATAGTTTAGGAGATATCATAAAAAGCAAGTTACAAGTCGCAGAAAAAAGCAAACGAAACACGAGTAATTTTAAAGCATTTGTATGAGCAAGAGCGTTATAAAAACGCTAATGAGCTTAAAACAGCGTTCCTGCAAGGGCTAACGGCAGTATTTTCACTTATTAGTATTAGTAATTTTGTACTTATTAATGAACTAGCATTCTGTCTCAGGTTTGCTCGGACAAATAAATAATAGTTACGATGGCTAAAATTAATTAAAAACAGCAACTACGTTATACTGGTTGAATTATTTTAGAAATAGCACCTAGTTTTTGTAAAAAAAAACAACAGTTTGATTGTTTTTTTTAACAAAAATACATAAAATAAGCATTGGTTGTAACAACACAAACCATTTGTAAACATTTACCGTTTATAATTATATAATATGCGAAATAAAACGGTAAATAGGCAAGATTCTATGCCATTGTTATATTTTATTCTTTGTAACGCAATGAAATAAGTTTTAGAATTTTCAATGTCGCGAGCGGATTAAATTATTTATTTATTTAATCCGTCTGAAGTTGTTTAAATCACTCTGTATTTATTTATGTTGATATCTCTGTAATAAATCTGTGGTTTAGTTTTATTTCGTATTAATTAGTGTCTATTCTTTGAAAGTGAAACGTGAGTGAGGATGTCTATACTTTTTCAAGCAGGATGTACTTTTATCGGTGAGTTAATTTAAGTAAAATAAATTAAAATTATTTTTATTAAGTCACGATTACTTTATTGCGAACTAACTGTTGCTTGTGACTTCGTCTGCGTGCAATTGAGTAAAAATATAGCCTGTGTTACTCACTGATAACGTAAGTTTTTAATGGTAAGAGAATTTTTGAAATCGGTTTTAGAAATTTTTGAGTTAAAAATACAATTTTTTTTTATATTAGTATAGACATAGATAAATCAAAAAACTTTGTACTAGGCTTCACCAGCCACTTTTATAAGAGCGGAATGAAAGAAATTAATTCTAGATTTCTAGCCTATGTTACTTAACGATAATGTAGTATTCTGACGACAAAAGAATATTTGTAATAGTTCATGTAGTTTTTGAGTTTATTAGTTACAAACATACTAAAATTAAAATCAAGTATTTATAACTCATCAAAATAAAGACTAAAATCCCATTTTAATTTTTATAACCGACTGTTGCACAGACTATCAAATAAAATTGTAGTTACAATATTTTCTGTTTTCAATACTATTATAAAGGGGAAAGATTTGTACTTTTTGCATGTATTGAAATAACTCAAAAACTACTTGGCCGATTACAAAAATTCTTTCACCATTAAGAAGCGTTACCAGTGAGTAACATAGACATATTTTATTACTTTTTGACCGACTTCCCAAAAGAAGGAGGTACTCAATTCGTCGATATGTTTTTTTATGTGTGTTACGGCATAACTCCGTCGCTAGTGGACCAATTTTGATAATTCTTTTTTATCCGAAAGGTAATGCTTGCAGGTGGGTCCCATATTTTTGTTTGATTTTTTAATTTCTCGCAGGCGAAGTCGCGAACAGTAACATATATTTGTTTCTCTATTTCAGTTTGTTATTCTTGTTTAACAATGTCGTTGATGTACGCCTGGCCCTCATCAACTATTAAAATATTTTTATCTGCCAATACTACCTTGAATCGACCAATGGACGACAATGAAATAGCGTTATTTGGAAGTTTCTCTTCAATGAGTGCTATATTTGTTACGCCATTTTCGGGATATCTTCTGGATAAAATTGGCCGAAAGAACTGCTGTATTTTATTCTCTTTGCCACAAGTGGTAAGTTACATTGATATAAAGAGGACGCGCTAAACTATCGCACAATTGTTGTGATTTTTAGTTGTACAACTAAACGGTTGAAGCAGCACAACAGTTGTGCGATAGTTTAGTCATATGTGCACCTCCTCTTATTATTATATTAAACACTAGCTTTCGCCCGCGACTCCGTCCGCGTGGAATTGAAAAAAAGAAAACTGAATAGCCTATATATAATAGAATTATGTCTTCTTCCGGACTATCTTCTATGCGAAATTTCATCGAAATCGATCGAATCGATCCATCCATCCATCCATCTATCTAAATTTTTACATTTATAATATTAGTAAGATGAGTGTGATAATTTGTGACATTTTTGAATTCTTTTTGCATAAGTTGGAATGAAATTTTAAAGAGGGTATTTCGAAATAAATTTTGCATGGACGTCAAACATTTTAATCTCTACATATTTTTTTGTGCCCGAAATATCTCTTAAATTGTTATTATAATTTATAAAATTTCTAAAAAAATCTACGTTAGTCATATTAATACGTGGAACGAAAACTTTGTATCGTATTTAAGGAAACTACGCAAAATAAACGTGATCATAAAGCGATTTAATCTATTACATATAATAAAATTGCAGTGTCTGTTTGTAATATGAAAAAAATCCAGATTTCGGGAAGATGACATATTTGCGTTGCTGATAACGAATCGCGTTTAAACATTCTTGTCTGTTTGTCTTGCAAGCCGCGTTTGTAACTAACAATCTCCGAAACAGCTGTGCCGATTTCCACTGGACTTTGAAGGGTAGTAGACGGGCACATTATAGGCTATTTTTTATCTTAATATTGCGTGGACGAAGTCGCAGGCAACAGCTAGTCAAAAAATAAAACAAAACCTGTGATTACGAATTACGACTGTTGATTATCATAAAATAAATAAGAAAATTAAAAGATAAAATTTTAATACAAATAAGCTAGTAATTAAAAATTATTCTTATTTAATTTAATAATATTAATCCAACTTCTTTTGTTTTGGACAAAAGATTTTTGATTTAGTTTAGAACTAGCTTTCGCCGGCGACTCCGTCCTCGCAGAATTACAAAACAAAAGTGAGTAGCCTATGTGTTCTTCCAGGTTATCCTATACATCTGTACCAAATTTCATCGAAATCCGTTCAGCCGTTAAGGCTACGAACTCTAACAAACATCCATCCATCTAAACTTTTGCATTTATAATATTAGTTAGATTACATTAAACCTTTTTTTTCAGATCTCATGGCTCATAGTGTCAATTAGTGTAAGAGTTGAAGCGATTCTCGGTGCTATGTTTATATCTGGGTTTGGTGGCTGCATATTACTGCTAGCTCCTGTCTACGTTAGTGAGTTCTGTCAGGAATCTGTCCGGGGAATGATGTCGTCAGTTTCCATGATATTGTATGGCCTTGGTATCTTGGTATCGTATCTATTAGGAGGATGCTTGGAGTATCAGACGATGACGTACGTCTGTCTATCGATGTCTGTGCTTGGTATACTAATGCTGTGGCCGCTGAAGGAATCGCCGTTGCATTTAATGAAACAGAATAATGAAGAGGTAAGATTACGGTTTGTTGTCAGTACAAAGTTTCTCATTAAGGGGCTTCTGGGTTTAGGGGTGATAAGGCCATAGTGCCATGCCAACCCAGTGCGGGTAGACTTTACAAATATCTTTGAAATTCTTCGCAGATATGTACATCACGACGTTTGCTTTCATCTTAAGAACTCCGTGTTAATGTACATAATGAAATGGATTCGAACCCTGCACCTACATATCACAAGTCATTTGCTTAAGCTCTGAACCTCTAACATTTATTTATAAAAGCGCATAATTCAAAAATTGATATAGATCTTGTTTGACAGGATGCTATAAAAGCCGTTGCATTCTTTAGAAGAGTAGAAAAAGATTCCAAAGCGATAACACAAGAGATAAATGCAATAAAAAGAGTTCTCTGTGCGGACATTGAAAGTAAGTACAGGTGTGAATTAGACCTCTTTGGTACAAAGTTTTGTTAATAAGGTTATACTGGCCACTAATAATGTTGCAAATTTAAGAAAAAAAATAAGCCATAAATTATAGTTTGTCTAAATAAGATAGATTAGTTTTATAAATGACGCATATGAAGTATCGAATTAAATTTGTATGAGGTAAATACCGTACTTAATAGATAGGTATCGTAGTGACGAAACAAACACGCTTAGCGAACAATTTTGAACTATCGATATTCGGTTTAAATAATTATCAACCTGAACTAAAATTATCAAGTTCTTATTACCTAATTTATAGGACAATTCTAGTATTGATTATAGTGTAGAGAATTTAGCGATGACAGAAATAATAGCGAAATCCAATTCGATTACGTACGGCTGTAGTAGTAATTAACATTTATTTACTCTCATTATTTGTTATGGTCATTATTAATTTGAGAAAACATTGTTTTGTTTTTAAATTCATAAGTTTTAACTATAATTCTATCGATTCCAAATTCTATAAGAATAAAAATCGAATATCGATAAGATTCATGACTGATTTTACACAACCAATCCCTACTACATTTGAAATTAATTGTCAAACTAATCTAAATTATTTAGACACACTATAGAATCACGCGAAAAAAAATCTCAATTATGTTGTTAAAATTAAATATTTATTGCAGTTACTCCAGAAGAAGAAAGTTTAAATCCGTACACGAAAAAGAAGGAAAAGATATCGAAATGGCAGTTTCTTAGTAAGTAGATTATTTGGCATATTAAGAGCGAGCGTACACCTGGAATAAAACTATTGCACAACTGTTTAGTCGCGCTTTGATTCCTATTAACTTATATGGAGGTGCGAACACTACTCGACTTTTAATCGTGCAACTAAACAGTTGTATTATCTGCGGTACAACCGTCATTCGCACAACAGTTGTGCGATAGTTCCAAAGATATGTAACGGCTCATAATAAGATAGAAAAGGTCAGTTACCTTTTGTATCTTTGAAGTTATATAGTCTTTAACCGCTGCAAAAAGTGTCACATAAAAGATACATGAGTAAACAAACGATGTTGTAAACCGCTTATGGGAATTCCAACTTCATGAAAAAATAATGTAATAAAGTTTATCTTTTGTAAATGATTTACATTGAGATTTGCGATACATTTCAATAGAATGTAACATTATTAAAAGAGATTATACCACAATAAAAATGAACGCATTTGTTAACTTAGGGGTATCCTTAAATATTAATGACATTAAAGTTTGCATTGTGTATACTTCTGTATGATAACTGTTTAGTTTAGTAAAAACTCTATAGTCTGTCTAAATAAGATAGATTAGTTTTACGATTTATTTGAAATTTAGTAGCGATGGGTTTTGTAAAATCAGCAATGAATCTTATCGATTTTCGATGTTTATTCGTGAAGTTGGAATCGATAGATTCATATTTATAATTTATGAATTAAAAAAATACTGTTTTCTCAAATTAATAATGACCTGCATAACTATTACAAAATAATGAGAGTAAATAAATGTTTATTACTACTACAGCCGTACATAATCGAATTGGATTTCGCTATTATTTCGGTCATCGCTAAATTCTCTACACTATTATCAATACTAGAATTGTCCTCTAAATTAGTTGTTAAGAAAATAATAATTTTAGTTGAGTTCGATAATTATTTAAACCGAGCATCGACAGTTCATAATTGTTCGCTGCGTGTTTGTTTCGTCACTACGATACCTGTCTATTAAGTACGAAATTGTCTTCATACAAATTGAATTCGATACTTCATATGCGTCATTTATCAAACTACCTTATTTAGACAAACTATAATCAGTTGGATTTTTTTTTTCTAGAAAAATCTCGTTCTACCCGTCGTGCGTTGTTCGTGGCTTTAATATTGTACTCAGCGACGATGTTCCAAGGTTTAGTAGGGGTACAAGTGTATGCTGACCCAGTCTTTGAAGAGGCACTACCGAATATGCCAACAACACTCGCTTGTGTTATCTTGGCTATAGTGTTTGTGGCCGCAGGATGTGCTGCTGCGTATTTGATGGATATTGCAGGAAGACGGGTAAGAATTTTACTTATAATATTACCAGGGGTCTTTATGGTGCATGTCTATGGGCGTCGGATAGATTAGTATTAAGCGATCTGCTCGTTTGAACTCTTATCGCATACAAATGGGAAATGGTGTAAATTTCCATCTTTTCTCACTGAATTTAATCGCTTTATTTTTGCTCACTCTCTTTGCGGATTGGTTAGAGATTGTATTCTTGTTTGACAATGGTTTTTTGTAGAAATATTTAACTAAATATAGCGATTATAATTGTTGATTCTGATTGAACGCCATAAAAATGCTTTTATCTCCCTGGACTTGTGCAACTCATGGGGCTGACGTGAAAGGTTTTATAATCTATAATGTTTTAGTTATATTTTTAGGGTATTAGCAGGACTTCATATAGTTATGTTATATACTTAAAAATCTCTTATTTCTTCTTCCAGCCTCTAATGATGTACTCATCGTTCATCGCTGGCGTATGCTGCGTTGGTTTAGGCACTCAGATCCATCTGCACTGGGGTCCTCACTGGCTTACTGGCGTCTTCGCATACATCTTCTGCATTGCTTATAATATCGGCGCTGGTACTGTTCCTTATGTGTTTAGTGCTGAAGTCTTCTTACCCGAAGTAAGTAATAATTCCTTTTAGTTTTTTACGAGTGATTTTTAACTGTGGAAAGCGAAAGGTCTATGTTAAGAGAAGATGTTGAATTTTACCTTTTCATTTACACCTTTCCAAGAATTCTTGTTCTTAACTTTTATTCCTTTTTTTTTTCGGAATAGAATTACTTTACTTCTATCTCCTTCGTGGTATTTTACCTGTAGAAAGCAATATTCGTAATCAGTTGCTGGTTTAGTTTTTTTTAATTGGATGACAATACGCCGTCCGCTTGCTTTCCTCGGACACTGAATCTGAGTTCTTTTTTATCTTTATCAAAATTTTCTTACGTTTGTAGTTTTTAACTTATGACATCTAAACATTACAATTATTAATAATATTTCAATCATCTTTATTTACATTTACTATTATTTTGGCTTGCCTTGTCCGAGATTTTTTTTGAACAAATTTATATATTTTATACTTAATATTAGCCTAGTTACATTTTTTATTTTGCTTATACTCAATTTATCTTTAGATTTAGTTTACTTGACTTCTTTCTCATTGTTTTATTATTCTTTCTTTTCAGATTAAAAGTCTTGTATCAATGCTCTCGATGGAATGGGCGTGGATATGCAACTTTGTAATTCTGTACATCTTCACACCTTTGGTCGCTGCTATAGGCTTAGGGCCGGTCTTCTACGTTTTTGCTATCGTCTGCTTCGCGTCTGCGGTTTTTAGTTACTTCTTCTTACCAGAGACGAAAGGATTACCTGTAGATGTTATACAGACACTTCTAGTAAAGAATTAGATATCAATGACTTGTTGAAATCATGGATTTTATTGGAACGAAGTGAATTTTGTATTTTGATTTTTTTCATGTGAATTATTATTTGTAGAGTTTAAAGCTTGATGCTTTAGCTAGGATGTGGTTGACAACAGTCAATAGGGTTCGTACCCAAGACTCATTTTGCCAGATGATTAGTTCTAGTGAGGAGGCCCTTTGTAGGACTCTGCCCCCCATAATGGGGGGCAAAACACCTCGGTTCCTCCAACGCCTTAAGCCGGGGTCACGGGTACGCTTTCGCTTACGTCCGCAACCCCGGCCTGAGTGAGGAGGGTCCTATAACAAGGTCAGAAGGATGGATGAAAGGTATCCTTAAGAGTGATTGTGTCACTCCTAGGAGCGGACGCACACGTTTGACTAAACTATCGCATTGTGCGATTGTCAATTGTTTCGCAGTAAATTTAACTATTTATTTGCACAACTAAAAGTCGAGAAGTCCCTTCCACATAAGCTCATATGAATCAAAGCGAGACTAAACAGTTTGCTATAGTCTAATGTGTGCGCGAGTTCTAAAGTGACACTGAGGGGAAATTTAATGTGACCCATAGATACACTGCCATTTGCGATATGCATTTATTTTTTGTAATTTATTCTTAAGATTTTTTAACATTTTTTTCTATAAGATATGTGTTTGTAATGCTAAGTTTAAAAAATATACAGTGTAATAATTTTGTAGTTTGTATGTATTTTTTAAGTAGACTAACGGCTGAATACTGAAACGAAATGTTAACATCATCTTAAATGATACGGCCACGCCAATACTACTTCATACTAATATTATCAATGCGAAAGTTTAGATGAATCGATGTTTGTTAGAGTTTGTAGTCTAAACGGCTGAATGGATTTTGATAAAATTTGGCATAAATGTAGAGGATAGTCTGGAAGAATACATAGGCTATTTTCATTTGTTTTTTTCACTTCCGCACGGAGGTGAAATCTGGTTACAATATAATTCTGGCGTTTATTAGATAGTTTTGGCACTTACGAGAAGAATTATTTAAAATTCGTTTCAGTATCGGGCCGTAGGTCACCAGTTATGGAATTGGTTTATAAAACACGTACATGTTTCAGTTATCCAATATCCGTGAACACAAGACACGATTGACCATAAATAAATGTTCAAGCAAAGATAAATCTTACATAAATTACGTACAGTTCATTTTCCAATGACATTTAATTCTTTGTTGTAAAATAAACTTTAACAGTGGGGAATAAGGTTTATTTTACTTTGACTTATTTGGTTGCGCAAGCGCTGATAATATAGTTGCACATACATATTCTCATGAATGGGACAGTTAGTGGGGAAGGACAAAGTTCAACTAGTGATGTATAACAAACCCAAAATGTTATTTTAATAAACGCATTCATTCCAACATAAATGCGAAAGTGTAGAAGGATGTTTGTTAGAGTTTGTAGCCTAAACTGCTGAACGGATCTCAATGAAATTTGGCATACTTGTAGAGGATAGTCTGGATGAAAACATAGACTACTCGCTTTTGTTTTATTTTAATTTCACGCGGTCGGATACGCGGGCGAATACTAGTGATTTATAATTTTTTTTACTCAATATTATTGAATGAAAACATACTTTTACTCGCTGTGTAATGAAATTGATTTATTTAACAGTGGGCTTACACTCTAAAATAGTGATATATCGGAAACAAATTAATCTATAATAATATTATAAAGAGGATTTGTATTCTGGATTTTTGTGTGCATTGAAATGACTCCAAAACTACTGGACTGATTTCAAAATTTCAAAACTATGTTATCACTGAGTAATAGGCTGTATTTTTACTATTTTTAAACTATGGAAACCTACATTAATAATGTCTAAAGCTAGTAATAACTCCAACCTTTTTTCATATAAAACTATTTTATTGTAATAAGTGAGTATATTATCCTTACTGTAACGAATTATTTTTTTTTATTTACCTTATAACAATACAATATCAACTTAAAAATAGTTGTTAATAATAAACGCTAGATGAATCTCAGTGGTTTTTCAAATAGCAGTATGGTTCAACGTTTTGTATAACGTTATAACCGTTACTTGATAACTAGTCACAACACTATTATAACAAGCTACACTGAGCACTGTATTCAATTTCATTCGGTGTTAATACATTCAGTGCAACAAGTCATTGTGTGTGTACATTACACGATCGAGTCGTAAATGTGTATTGTGTACACAGTTTGTAATTAAAGTAAGTAATAGTAAATTTTATCTTACTAATATTATAAATACGAAAGTACAGATGAATGTATGTTAAAGTTTGTAGCCTAAACTAAATGGATCTCGATTAAATTGTTAGAAATGTAGAGGATAGTTTGGAAGAACACATCTTATGCTTTTATTTTTTAATATTACGCGGTGAGAGTCGCGGACGAAAGCTAGTGTTTATTTATTTTGTAGATTAGGTTGTAATTGATTATTTAGGGGTCATAAATTTTCCATTCTACATTCGGGATAGAGTGACCTCTAGTGAACTAGTTTTGTTAAAATTGTTTATTTTGCAATGACGCTATATTTGTCACCAAGGTCAATAAAGTCAGATAAACAGTACTAATCATGATATATATCAATACTCTTTGTGTTTATTTTTATGCTATTGTTTGATGTTGTTTATTTACGTTATCAAGAATTTTAAAAGTCGTTATCTGTCTGTTTACATTTTACTGAAAGTAAGTGTTACATTGGTCTTATTTTTACGCTACTTTTTAGCTTTTTATAGGTAATTAATTTTTATAGTAAATGATGGCAAACGGACATCATATATAGGCGAAACGATAGTTGCATACACATCCGTAATAACAGGCATAAGTTTTTTGGTAATAGTTGCTAGAGCTAGAAAAACTTTAACAAGTTTAGATCCTCACTTTTGTACTGTAAGAGCAGGCGCACACCTTTGACCAAACTATCGCATAACTGTTTAGTCTCGCTCTGATTCCTATGAGCCTATATGAAGGTGCACACATTACTAGTTTTTTAGCTGTGCAACTGAACAGTTGAATTTGCTACGAAATCGACAATCGTTTGGACAAAAGTGTGCGCCTGCTCTAATTATTTACTTGTCTATATATTGCTTTTGTATTAAGTCTAAACTCAGCCTAATTAATGTCTTTAAGATAAGGTTTTCGTTAACTTAAAAGGCACACATATGATATTTTGCAGATTTTTTTCTCCGATATGCAACTGAAAGGTTACTAAGTACCAGGATGACAGGAAAGATAGAAGTGAGATTCGAGGAAGCGGAGAAAAGGAAGGGGGTTATTCTGACATTAATTGCTGTGACAATCACTTTTCTGTCATGGCTGGCGTACGGACATCCCCTCGTTATGGCCCTTCTAGTGATGCTTGCAGTATATCTGATGACAGGAGATAGATATCAATGGATTTATATCTGGAGGAAGACGTACAAAAGAGACATGATGTAAGTAAAATTTTGTTAAGTCCCAGTATGAAGTTTATAGCTAGTAAAATTCAGGTATTTTGAAAATAGAATTCGGAAGTTAACAAGTTGAGTGAAAATGCGTTCCATATTTAAAATTTAAATCATTTCACTGAATACATAACAAAAAAACGTTATCTTTAAAACGTTCTTTTTTTATTAGTGGCCGGTTTCTCACCTACTTTTAATCATTCGTTATTGTTTTTGGTTCGATATCTGCATGCGTTTCAGAACAACCTAACTTGAGTTTTACTCCGTTGAAATATAGTTCAACTTTTACGTTGCATTTACCTGAAACTAAACTATCGCACAACTGTTTAGTCTCTCTTTGATTCCTAGGAGCTTATATGGAGGTGCGCACTACTCGATTTTTAGTTGTGCAACTGAACAATTGTATTTACTGCGAAACAATAGACAATCGCACTGTTGTGCGATAGTTTAGTCGAAGGTATGCGCCCGCTCCAACACTAACTTAGCACTAGGTACTTACTAAACGTACCATCCTTCGATCACAACTTCACCTTGGTCTAGTTGGGATAGTGGTGAAGCGCTGGTTTTCCATTTTAAAAAAAATGTAACAATAAATGGAAAACTTCAGCTACCCAGCATAAATTAAAAAGTAGAGGTAAAGTTAAATTTACGACAACACTGAATTCGAAAACAGACGTACCAGGGTGTCATATTTCATAAGCAGTTGTGTCCAATTACAAGCGACCGCAATCAACCGCACAGCAATCGACGCCTTGAGTTTCTGTTACTCTGGTACCAACCGGTATCGACTGGCTTTACTGACAACTACAAAACTAAAAAAAGATGGATTTCTCTATTCTTTCAATTAAAAAAAAGTTAATTTGTTTTAGTAGAATTTTAAATTCTTTTACTTTAAAGTAAAATCGTAAAATTCACCCCACAATAAGAGCGCGCGCACACCTTTGACTAAACTAATGCACAACTGTTTAGTCGCGCTTTGATTCCTATGAGGTTATATGGAGATACCTTACTCGATCTTAGTTGTGCAATTAATTATTTCAATTTCCTTCGTAACTATCGACAATACAACTGTATGAGATAGGTTAGTCAAAGGTGTGCGTCCCCTCTTCGAACGATTACCTTGAAAGGACATCATAAAACGAAGATTATCTTCGGCGAAGCTTGTTAAATTCGCCTACACTTATGTTCAATCTACAAGCCATAAATCTATTTCCTGAGCCACCTGAATTAAAGGTGTGGTAACATTGGTGCGATTCTCCCTACTCGTCTCGTTACTGTGCGGCCCGGATGTAACGTATTACCCTATTGTGTACGCGCCACGTGAGGTGCCCGTCTCAATCGAGTGGACCTTGGCCCCTCGTATCCCAGTTGACGTAGGGGAAAATTCTCTAACCTATTTTGTTTCTATCCAAATAGATATAAAGGAAAGAGAGAAAAGACGTTAGTTAAAGACGATAAATACTAAATATGCTTTTGGACATTGTCAATAAAATAAGTCTGTCAATTGTCTAATATTTTTTTTTTATTTACCACTAAATGCACAAATTACAACAAATAGTATACTAAAACTAACCTTATCAACTACAACTTTAGTTTCTGATATTTCCCGTTATAGAGTAAACCCGCGGGTAAACATAGTACAGGTGGAACCATTCCGCTAACCATTTTAACGCTAGGTTGCTTAAGATTCCATTTATGTTATCATTACTTAGTGATTCATTAGTGTTAGATTGTCTTAAGTTTTAAAGGTTTAAAACTAAAGTTCAGTAGTTCGGAAACGAATTTAATTAAATTATCACATGGTTAAATGTAGCTGTGAAACCGGCCATAAGACACATTTTTACTACGTTTACGTTACGTTTGTCTTTCCAGTGGTCTTCGAGTTCTTTTAGAAACAATGTTCAGGATATGGGTGTGGGAGAGACGCGGCATCACAGTGGTCACCAGGTGGGCAGAAGTCGCCAAGATAAATCCAGATAAGAAAGCCTTTGTTATGAATGATAGATTTCTAACGTTTCGTCAGGTAAGCACTATTATAAGATAATCCTAATTCTTCCAAACAATACTAATATTATAAAGGGGAAAGATTTGTATTTTTGTATATATTGAAATAACACAAAAAACTACTGGGCCGATTTTAATAATTCTTTCACCGTTGGAAAAGTAATTTGTGAGTAACATAGGCTATATTATTTTTAATATGGTATTAATCAATACTCGTAACTTTTGTTATAACTAGCTTTCGCCCTCGGTTCAGTCCGCGTGGAATTAAAAAAACAAAAGTAGGTATCCTATGTGTCCTTCCAGACTACCCTCTACACCTATGCCAAATTACATGAGATCCGTTCAGCTTTAGGCTACAAACTCTAACAAACATCCATCTTAACTTTCGCATTTATAACATTAGTAAGATATGACATCAATTGAGAGCAGATATCTTTTGAAATACAAGACAACAGAAACAAAAGTAATAATTCATACGAGATTTTTCTATTTTTCTTTTCACCAGGGCGATGAATTCAGTAATCGTATAGCATGGTACTTCAAGCGACAAGGTTTCAAAGCCGGTGAAGTGATTGCTCTGTTCATGGAAACACAGCCTGAGTATGTATTCATTTGGCTCGGATTAGCCAAGATACGTGTGACCAGCGCATTGGTAAACACTAATCTGAGAGGTATCCAGTTGATATATTGCTTGAAAATAGCTGGTTGCAAAGCTGTTATATTTGGTGATGAAATGGCTGATGGTAAGTGTTATTGTTTTTTATTTGATTCCTATGAGTTTTATGGAGGTGCACACACTACTCGATTTTTAGTTGTTAAAATAAACAGTTAAATTCTCTGAGAAGCAATCGACAATTGCAAAACTGTTGTGCGATAGTTTAGTCGAAGGCGTGCGCCCGCTCTAAGTCGCTTCCACCGTCTGTTTGTACATGTGTATGCTTAAATCTTAGAGCAACACTGATTTTGATGCAAAAAATACATATATAACATAGTAAAGAAATACATTTTAGAGGTTTCTGTTGTATGTAAACAACAAATTTTCATATTAGCATTGGAGGCGAAGTCAGGGCGATTCACTAGTGCTTAATAAATCTGCCAGTCTTTAAATATGGAACATTGGATTTTAACATTTACCATTACAAAAATATGTCTCATTTCTCCACCAGCTATAAAAGAAATTCAACATGAAATAAGCGATATACCGTTATTCCAATTCAATTCACCTGATCGTCTTAATGCACCGATACTGCAAGACACGTCGCCGTTAGCCACCGAACTGGCTGAGATGTCGACAGACGCTTGCGCAGATGTGGACGTAGCTAAGCCTAGAGATACTTTGATGTACATCTACACCAGTGGTACTACAGGGTTCCCCAAAGCTGCTATTATAACTAACATCAGGTACGTAACTAATAGATATTTAAATTCATAACTACACTAAATCAAACTATCACATTAGTCTCGCTTTGATTCCTATGAACTTATATGGAGGAGCGCACACTACTCCATTTTTAATTGTGCAACTAAACAGTTGAATGTTCTGAGAAACAATCGACTATCACGCAACTGTTGTGCGATTCGATTGTCGATTGTTTAGTCAATGATGTGAACCGGCTCTTATATTGCTGAATTTATGCTTGAATTTGCAACAATTTATTTTTTGATCTTGGAAATGACATTTGAACCTTAAAGAAAAAGGAATGTTTGTATGGTCCAGTTGGCCATAAATGTTACGACTTTATTTAAAGTACAGGGTTTACAAGGATGACGAAGGAACAATAATTTTTTACTAAACTACTGCCAACTGGTTGATTTGATTACAAAACCTCAGTTTCATCTATTTACTTAAAATCATGGTGTTATTTTGTGCTGATTTCTCAAACTATAACTGTCCTTAGTAATACATTAATGACAGGACGGGCTTACTTAGTATTTTAGAATACTCTAGAATTACATTTCATAATTATTGTAGATATCTCCTGATTCCTCTGGGAGTGCATACATCAGCTCGTCTAACATCAGCTGATGTGATATACGACCCGCTGCCGCTGCACCACACGGCGGGCGGCGTGCTCGGCGCGGGCCAGGGCCTCGTGCTCGGTTGCACAGTTGTGCTGAGGAAGAAGTTCTCAGCTTCTAACTATTGGAGTGATGCAGCTAAACATGGCTGCACGGTGAGTTAAATATACTTACTATTTTAGTGTGCAGATGTCTTGAAAAGGGCGTATTGTGTCTCCAAATTATTTTCTTCATGTATGCTTTTTCTACGAAAGACCAGCACAGTATGGACCTTTATCAGCCATCATATCTGAATTCACTACTTTTTTACAAATAAATTTGCCGAATTAGTGAAGCTGAGGAGGAGAAGCACAGAAAGAGTATAATTCTTCTTCCTATGTCTCCTCACTTCCGTAAATCCACTTACTCTTTTCTTTTTAAGAAATGGACAGGAAAGAAAAGGTGATGAACTTAGGGGTCCAGCACTTGCTATTTGCTAATTGGTGACCGGATGGTATTATTTTAAGTAAAATGTATTTTTTTCTATCTTCGACAATTATTGTTTTTCAATTATCTTCAATTCCAGGTGGCACAATACATTGGTGAGATCTGTCGTTACTTGCTCGCGGTACCTAAAGGTGGTCACGACCGCGCACACAATGTCAAAGTGATAGTCGGCAACGGTCTTCGACCCCAGATATGGCAGGAGTTTGTCGACAGATTCGGTGTGGAGAGAGTACTGGAGTTCTATGGAGCTACTGAAGGGAATAGTAACCTTGGTAAGTATATTTGTTCTCACTCACAGGTCTTGGAATTTACACAAGTTAGGAGTGAATGGGCTATAGTAGACCGCACTGAAGGTTGACTTGACACATATCTTTGAATTTCTTAGCATGTGCAGGTTGAGCGATGTTTTCCTACAGTAAGAACTCTCTGTTTCACATTTAGAGTGTGCGAACACCTGAAACTAAACTATCTCACAACTGTTCAGTCCTTCTTTGACTTCTGAGAGTTTATGTGAGTTGTGCGATTATTTAGACAGGTGTGCGCCCGCTCTTAACAGTTTAATGTACAATGTGTCGATCGAGTTAATTATAAATTCGTTGATTATATCGTTTAAGTATTGTTTAAAGTAAGTTCATTAAATCAATTTCAGTGAACCTTGACTCCAAAGTTGGTGCAATTGGCTTCTTAAGTCGTCTTGTGTCTTCAATATATCCATTAACGCTTGTTAAGTAAGTACTAAGTTGTTATTGACGTTGATTCAATAAATGTTATAACTTATCATTTGATCTGCTACATCATCAACCATATCCCTACGGTGGGTCGGCTCAGTATGTGCTCTTCCATACATCACTATCAGCCGTCATGTCTTTCTTGTTTATGTCATTATAATTAAATTTTGTTCTGTTTCATGAGATCTTTATTTTGTAGATGTGACGAGATAACTGGTGAGATCTTACGAGATGAGAACGGTAGATGTATCACATGCGGTCCTCATGAACCAGGTGAGCTGAAGTAATACCATACATGTATAATCACACGATACTAAGTGAAATTAAACATTGAGTAATTGACAGAAAACCTTCTTTGAAGAATGCCAAAATAATGTTGCCATTCCTTAGACCTGGACCAGATCATCGGCTAATATTACCCAAGTTTAGTCCTCATCTAAACCAAGTCACACTAAGTTAAAGTTACCTAAGTAGTTTTCATGCTATGTTACTAACATTATAATTTACTTACATTTAATTAACATAATGCAAAAGTTTATGGATGTTTGTTAGAGTTTATAGCTTAAGCTGAAAGAATTTGTATGAAAGATATATATGTAGGTAGTCCGTAAAAAACATAGGCGACTTTTTAAATTCCACCAAAGCTTAATATTTGTTGCGGATTTTAATATATTGTCCAATAACAGGATTGCTTCTCGGTAAAATTGATCCAAAGAAAGCGATTCTAACATTCTCCGGTTACGCTGACAAAACCGCGTCAGAGAAGAAGATGGTGCGCCACGTGAAGGTAGAGAATGATTGTTACTTCAACACGGGAGATATCCTCGTTATGGACCACTATGGATACTTCTACTTCAAAGATAGAACCGGAGATACTTTTAGGTAAGGAATTTCTTAAGGCAACAAATCTGTAGTTCCTCTGGTGTTGCGGATGTCCATAGGCATCGTTGATAACCTCGGTGTTAAAGCCGCTGGTTTGCCCACTTTTTAAAAAAAAAAAAATTCTTGAGTGAATTTTTGAAGTCTTTATGTAGAGTGATAATCGAATAGAATGAAAAGAATTACGTCTATGCAATCTATTGATATCATTTATGAATATTTAGGGCCTGTCCTACTATTGTCTGATAGAGGCTCAGATAGCTTAATAATGACACTGTCAGATAAAGTAACAAAATCCGATATTTCCATCACATATTTTACGTTGTATTGTTATCAGACAATTTACAATTTGGTGGGACAGGCCCTTAGTGTGGTTTAATTTGCTTATAAATTAATTTAAAGAAATGTGACTGATGATAGCAAGTTGTTTTTGATTTAACTTTTGATTGTAGAATAATTCATACATATTTGATGGTAAAATTTAGATGGCGAGGTGAAAATGTTTCCACTGCGGAAGTGGAGGGTGTCATCAGTAACTTGGTGGGATTGAAAGATGCTGTGGTATACGGTGTCAGTGTAAGTATGTTGTTACTGTGATACTCGTTGATCACGTATGATTTTTATTATTATATATTTATGTATTAAGGGCTGTCCCACCAGTGGCTGATAGAGGTTCAGATAGCGAAATGACGTCACTGTCAGATAAGATAACAAAATCAGATATTTCCATCATATACCTTACACGTTGGATTGTTACAGTCAATTTACAATTTGGTGGGACAAGCCCTAAATCTTAAAAATTACAAGTCGGGCAGAAAAAGAACTGTTATTCAAATATGGAGAGAATTTATGCTATCTGTTAGAAAATATAGCACTACTGACCTATCAAATTTTCATTTTTTTATTTATGGCCGGTTTCCCAGCTTTTTTAACCTTTCGATGTTTCTCGTTTTAACTTCATGAAATGAGTTTCTGTTATTGTGATGTATATGTATATGTGATGTAACTATGTAATTTGAGTTTTATTTCTTTGAAATTAAGTTCAGATTAACATTAATCGCTAAGTAATGATGACATAAATGAAAAAAATATAGCAACCCAGCATTATACCCACCTGGTCCCATTTGCCGATCAGAACTACATTTTCAAATTAAAAATGTTTTAAATTAAATTCTCTTTATTCCAGATACCGAACGTTGAAGGCAAAGCTGGTATGGCCGCTATTGCAGACCCAGATAGAAATCTAGACATTCTAGACTTTTACAAAAGTATAACATCATCTTTACCAGTATATTCTAGGCCTGTGTTCCTCAGAATATTACCAGAGTCACCATTGACAGCGACATTTAAATTAAAAAAGAAAGAATTAATAAAACAAGGTTATAATCTTAGTTTGCATAACGACCCTATATATTACCTCGATCTAAAGACTGGTTACGTTCCTTTAACGGAAAAATTATATGATGATATCGTTAAGGGTAATGTAAGGCTGTGATTTATATTTCCTAATAAATATCCAGTGCCATTAATGCCCGGTTTCTGAAGTCTAAGATAGTATCCATTCAAAAACGTTAGCGTTGTTTTGATGAAATGCATTTTTTTTTATAATACGAGGTGGCAAACAAGCAAGCGGCCACCTGAATTCACCGAAATGGAAAGCGACCGCTGCCCATAAACATCCACTATTGTAGATGCGTTGCCTACCCTGATTGACGGAGGAGGAGACGCATATAAAGAGGACATTTACCCCTCCGATGCATCTCCTTCACCGTCCAATCCACTTTTTCCTCCCATCCTTTCCTCTTAAGAAAAGGGTGGAAAGGAAAAGGGACTAAAATTAGGCC